ATGACAACGGGAGGAGAGCGACCAGGACCAGGAAAAGCGAGCGAGGCAGTCATTACGAACAGCGCGAAGAGCCATCTGGCGACTCGACCCTTCCACCGATGGGGCGTGGCATGAGCACTGCTCCTTGCGAAGCCCCCAAGATCGAGACACGCGCGATGAGCCACTTCCACGCGGAAAATATTCGCAGCTGCGCGTGCGAACATAAGCAGAAACCAGAAAGCCAGAACGCTGGCGGCATCGACAACTACTGACTTGCAAACGGGAGGCGCCTCGGCCTCCTCCTCCTCCTCCTCTTCCTCCTCTTCCTCCTCTTCCTTGGTGGGCTGAAAGCTACAAAACAAAAGTGGCTACACCAGCCTGTTGCACATGTATGCGCACGATTGCCTCAATGAAACTTGGCTCAGGTATCCACCAGGGCGCCCGCTCAGACCTACCCTCCCAGAACGTGCTACATGTATTCAGCGAGCTACATGACAATCCTTAGAAACAAATGTCGACCATCCAGGTGTCACACAATCATCCCGCGAGCCCACACGCTGCATAGGAAATATCCCGCTCCCCAGACATGCAACAAAACGCGCATCGCGTATTCATGTATGCCGCTACGCCATCTTCGAAGGCACAATTTAAGACATGTCCAGAACATGTACGAAGGGAAGAGAGAACATGCAACTTTGAAACAAAACGCCAGATGCCTGACCCTCGATACTTTCCGCACAACGTGCGCCTTCATGAATGACAAGCTATGCCAATGCCGTCAGTGAACACGGAACGGGCACAAAAGCTGCGAATGAATGCGCGAAGTGGCAACTGTGTCATAGTCAACGGTGCATACGGCAACATTAGCTGCAAACCAAACAATAGATGCACAATGGTGTTGTCCTCCTCTTCCTCGTCATCGTCGTCTTCCTCCGCCGCAGCAGGCGCCTTGGGCGGTCGATAAAGACAACCGGGTGGTTTGTTCTCTCTTGCACACATACATATACGTATGTAAAAAAACACATACTGTGTTCGAGGGAGAGGAAGAACGCGACCACATAACGTCACGCGTCGAGACTACCGCGTGGCCTCAGGTCACGCGTCGAGGCGCAGAGGATTTTGACGCACGCGGCCGCGGTTGCGGGTGAGGCTGTGGTGACTGGGGGGCGGCTATCAAAAATAGCCCCCCCCCCCCAGGCACCCAGGTCTGCACTGGATCGGATCGTGCAATCGGATCGGATCGAGAGCGGATCGAGAGCGGATCGAATCGCCAGCGATCGTCCCGAATCGGATCGGTATCGAATGGCCGCGCCTCGCTTCCGGCTGGCCCTGGCCGATGCCAGTGAATAGAGCCGGATCGCGGCGATTTGGAATCGCGGCCCCAGCCAGCGAATCGAATCGCATCGAATCGGATCGCAGGCGGCCCTTGCACCCCAACGAAATGAACAGGAGCGGACTTTGGCGAGCCGAATCTGGTGAGAGAAAGCGAGCAGTGGTGCGCATATATATATATATATATATATATATATATATATATCATGCAACAGGTGCGGCCAGAAACCGAAGCCCACGTCACGCTCGGAAGAAGCATGGCGTCGCAAACCTGGTTGCACCGAAGCCCCCTTCTTAAAGACGGCAGACCGGATTCGTCGACACGGCGGGCCGACGGCGTGGCAGGCCTCTACATGGTGACCCGTGCGCACGAGGCCGACCTGCGTGTCGGCAAGCGTTTCTGAGGCATGGCCCAGCCGTCACAAGAGGGCCCAAGGCCTGCCCCCGGAGCGGCTCCCAACGAAAAAGCAGAGGCGGATCCAACCAAAAGGCCCCAGGACGTCCCGGGACGGCCCCGGGATCCTCGCCAGGCCACACCAACGGGCCCTGGGAGGTCAGACGGACACCTTGGGGCACACAAATGTCTACGCTGCTTCCGAGACGCTGCTTGGCCGCCGAGCAGTGCACTTTGCCGAACAAAAAACATCCGTCGCAAAAGATGTCTTGAAAGCCTGAAGATGGTCCCTGCCCCGAGCCCCCCGCGACCCGCCGTGGCGGGGCAGGAGGAGGAGGAGGAGAAGGAGGAGGAGGAGGAGCAGGGGTGGAAGCGGCAGCGTGTGAAGCACCCTCGTGCCATCAGGAAATCAGGAGAAGGGGGAGGAGGAGTAGGAGGAGGAGGAGGAGGAGGAGGAGGAGGAGGAGGAGGAGGGGGAGGAGGGGAGGAGGAGGAGGAGGAGGAGGAGCAGGAGGAGGAGGAGGAGCAGGAGGAGGAGGAGGGTCCCTGCTCCTTGCAACGAGGCGGCACCCATGCATCTCAGCACTCCCTGGAAGGTCGCTTGACGGAGAGACGGCCACACGGAGGCGGCCCAGCAAGAAAGTCCCAAGCTGTCCAGGACGACGACGACGAAGACGACGACGAAGGCGACGACGACGAAGACGACGACGACCACCACGACGACAACGACCGCCGTCACGACGACGATCACGCCACGACGAGTCCCGAGACCATGGAGGCGGCCCCAAGACCCACCGGAGGAGAGCCCCCCCGCGCCCCCGAGAGCCCCGAGGGGCCCCCAAGAGGCCCCCAGGGTGAAGACGGCGCTCGGGGGCAGAGAGGAGGCTGACAATTGTTTGCCCGGCATGGGTCCCAGAAGGCCTCAGGGCCACCCCTCGGCTACCTCAGGTGGCTCCCAAACGGTCAAGCGACCCCTGAGAGGGCCCCGAGCAGTGCAGGACCCAAGACAGCCCAGCATCATCCCAGGAGACCCCTAGACGGCACAACACCTGCCCAAGATGGCTCTGGAGCAGCTCCAAGACTGGCTGGCATGTGACATCGCAGACGGCCTCAAGAACCGCTGGCAGTTCATACATGATGTGTGTGTGTGTGTGCTTGCGTGTGCGGGGAGAGGCTCCAGTCTTTACGCTGCTGCTAAATGGTACACTTTGGGACAAGGGGGGACAGACGGCTGTGTTCGCCCAGAGCCCAAGCTTGCGCTCGGAACGACAGGGGAATCGCACGCCAAAGGGAAACGTCGACCACGAACCGCTCGCTGGCGGCGCTGATCTCGAACCAACCCATCACGACTTACCTAAGCCGGGGGCGCGCAAACATGGATCAGCGATCCACGGATTTGGCGCGCGGTCGCCAAATCCATGGATCGGGGGAGGTGCCCTCCCCAAAATGCGGCAGGTGCCGCCTCGCTCGGCGGCGGAACTCCGCGATTCCCCACGGAAGCGGGACGCGCCGCTAAACCACGCCCCCTTTGATCCAGGTGTACGCTCGCCTGGCCAAGACCTGCACGCCGACTGGAGGTTCCAGCCTCGACCTCGGGAGCCAGAGCCTCCAGCCTGGATATCCCGAACCGCTCGGCTGCTTCGTGGCCCGAGCAGCCCGCCCACATCTCCGCCGCGATCCACGGCCCAGCGGTTGCACCGGACCAGCTAGCAGGACGATCCCAGAGGAAGGGGCCCAAGGACACACAAAGAAATGCACACAAGTCCAAGGACTCCCGATATTTCCATGTGTATATATATACATGTATGAAAAATATGGGTATTCGTCTTCCCCCCACTTCCCATATTCTCCTACATGTTCCTGGGAGTCGACGATTCATTGTGTCTGTGTGTGTGTGGGGGGTCGATGTCTACACCACGTCGTTCGGTCGACCGAGGAGCTCGGTGTATAGATGCCCCTCCTCCCAACCTGTGGGACGAGGGAGCGTCTACACGCTGAACCTCCTCGCCGAACTCCTCGGCTCTCTGGCCGACCAGACGACGTGGTATCTACGGATCGGCCGAATTCGGCGGCCCCGTCTAGACTGCAGCCGCACCACCCCACAGGGACAGACGCCGCGGAAGGACAGACGGGAGCCCACCAGAGTCCTCGGCTACACGCAAGAGTGACCCTGGGTAAGAGTGACCCTTGGTGACCTCGGCTTCTTGGGGGGCGCGAGGGGCCCAAGCACGAGCGCGCAAGACGCTGCTACCGCTTCGCGCTCGGCGATCGGGGGGCCCCAGTGGGCCCGCACCAGAGGTCACTCTGGCGAAGGGGCCACTCTTACGTCTAGCCGACGGAGGAGGAGGAGGAAGAGGAGGAGGAGGAGGAAGAGGAGGAAGAGGAGGAGGAGGAGGAGGAGGAGGAGGAGGAGGAGGAGGAGGAGGAGGAGGAGCAATCCCGGCCTGCGCCAGGTCCCCGCCGCCCCTCCAGCCAGTCCTCCGGCCGCTCCTCCAGCCAGTCCTCCAGCCGCTCCTCCTCGTCCTCCGCTGCCCTCGCCTCGTCCTCCTGACTCCCCCCGCCTGTCTGTAGGGAGCCGGAAAATTACATAAACATAGAAGGAAAACAGGAGGTACGCGCGGATTTCTTGGTTCCGCGCTGGGCCCCCCTCCCTGGCGCGCGGAGCGCGCCAGGGGCGGCGCCGGAGGCGCCGCCGGGGGGGCCCAGCGCCGATCCGGTAAATCCGCGCGGACCTCCGAGTTTTTCTGTTTATGCCATTTTTCGTTCCCCTATGTTCCGCTCCTCGGAGCTCTGCGAAACTGGGTCGTGCGAGAACATGGCCGGTTGGAAGAAATAGGAAAAGACCAGGGTGACAACCTACCAGACCACCCAACCTAACCCGAACACCCAAACTTCGGGTTGTGGGGGGGGGGAAGGTTCCACGCGTGGTTTTTCAATACTCTCCGACGCCCCCCCCCTCCACTGGGAATGGAGGTCTAAGTGGAGCCTTCGGGTCGGGTTGGGGTGGTTTGGGTGGTTTGGTGGGTGGTGACTGGCAGCAGGGGCCACCCTGAGGAGGATCCAGGGCACACCCTCCCGAACCTGAGTCCCCTCCCTTCGTTTCCACCTCCCGCCTCCCGGCCCTGGAGGAGCTGGAGGAGGAGGAGGAGGAGGAGGAGGAGGAAGAGGAGGAGGAGGAGGAGGAGGAGGAGGAGGAGGAGGAGGAGGAGGAGGGAGGAGGACGGGGGGAGACGGCCTGACCCTTCGCCAGCTTCGGGGGGGGGGGGGGGGGGGGGGGGGGCGGCGGCGCCAGACCTCAGCGTGCCGGCTGCTGCCGTCGCGCCGCAGGCCGCTCGGCTCCCAGCTCCCCGCCCTGCACCGTCCAGCCCCCCCCCCCCCTCCCTGGGGCTGCGGCCGCACCCCTCCGCCCACCGGGGCCGCATGCTGCCCTGCCGCGCCCGCCCCGAGAGGCGGCCTGGCCGCCTGCCCCCGCGCGCCTCCCCCCCCCCCCCCCCGAACCAAAAACCAAAACGAGGCGCGCTCGCGTCGGACCCCGCCCGCGCCTTGGCCTTGGCCTCCGCCGTGGCCTTTGCCTCCGTCTTGGCGGCCGGCTTGGCCTCGGCCTTCGCGGCAGGCTGCGCTGTCGCTCCGCAGGGCGGGAGGCGGGATCCAGCCGATGCACGGGCACCCTTGAACAGCGAGCTCCGAGGAATAGATCCGCGGAGCACCCAGACGAGGGAGCACTCTCTCTCTTTCTCTCTCTCTCTATCTCTCTCTCTCACAGTCTAAGCATGAATCCCACAAAGCACACGTGGCAGGAGAGCGGGAGAGCGGGCTACCCGCCCGGCTCTCTCTCTCTCTCTCTCGTTATCTCTCTATGCTTTTCTATATCTCGCTCTCTCTCTCTCTCTCTCCCCCCTTTATCCCTGCCCTTATACACTATGTATGCATATATATATATATGAAAATATGTTTACATACATATATACATACAATCATACATACATTCATGCATGCATACATGCATGCATAAATGTATGCATACATCCATACATACATACATACATCCATACATACATGCATACAGGCATATATATACATATACATATACATATATGTATACATATACATATACATATACATATATATATACATATACATATACATATACACATACACATACACATACATATACATATACATGTACATCTATATAGAGATATGTATATATGTATATACATACATACACATACACATACACATGCAAACATACATACATATATACATACATGCATACATACACACATACATACATGCTTACATACATACATACATCCATACATACATACACATACATACATACATGCATACATTCATACACACATACATACATACATGCAAACACACATATGTATAAACATGCATACATACATACATACATACATACATGCATGCATGCATGCATGCATACATCTATACATATATATGTATACATACATACATACATACATACATACATACATACATACACACATGCATGCATACTTACACACATGCATACACACATACATACATACATACATGCATATATACATGCATTCATGCATGCACGCATGCATGCATACATACATGCATACTTACATACATGCATATATATATATATACATACATGCATACATACATGCATGCACGCATGCATGCATACATACAATCATAGTGTATGCACATACATATAAAGGTATAGATGGCCATCCACCCTGAACAGGAAGGCCTGAACCTCAATATGACTTGCGATCCATGCTAATATGAGGTGCGCGGCGGTGAGCTCCCGGGAAGATGCAAGATGAGGCATGCAAGTCGAACGATGATGGAAGCGAGCTCAGAAGTGGCGCGCGCTGATGTGAGACGGGCGGAAGATATTTGCCCAAATGTCTTGTCTGTATTTTAGAAGTGGAACCTGGAACTCTCGACCCATTCCCAGGCCCCCGTTGTGACAACTCATGGGCGCGACAACAATCCTGCTGAGGCCGACACCTGCGAAAATGATACGGCCACCAACCAAGACCTCTGAGCATGAACGGGCATTCCTCGTGAGAAGAAACAGAAGGACAACAGATACAAGCAACACTCGCTCGTGGTTCCCGTGCTGTCATGCTCCCTCATGCGGCCTTGTCGGACTCTCAGAAAGGAGCTCAGGAAGGATAATGCGGATGAGAAGCGATAGAACTGCGCGATTAGAGGAAGGATGAGAGGAGAAAGAAACAAAGGAACGAGGGGAGGATGGAATATCAGGCATAGGGAAGGGCGGAGGAGAACAACAGGGGAGAAAGGAGGAGGCAGGACAAGAGGCTGAGAAGCGAGCAGCTCAGTGGAAGGAGTCTGGGGTGGAGAAGAGAAGGCAGGAACAACAAGGAACAAAAGGACGAACATCGGGAAGAAGACAAACGAGGAGCGTTGGTAGAACTAGGAGCCAGGAGGGCGGAAGACGGAAGGAAGAGGGATATATAAGAGGAAGCATACTGCCTCTTGAGAGCCTCTGAGGGCGTCGTGGGGCCATTGTCGGGGCCCTTTTAGAAGGCTCTTGGACCACTGAAGCCATCTTGGGGGAGGCACGGCAGGGTCATGCTGGTGGGCCGTCTTGAATTTTTGAAGGCCCTCTTCAGGGCCGTCTAACGGTGCCTTAGCGCATCCTGGAGTGTCTTCAGAAACCTGTTGTCCCCCTCCTCCTCCTCCGCCTCCTCCTCCTCGGCCCACTCCTCCTCGTCCTCCAGCCCCCTCCTCCTCCTCCTCCTCCTCCTCCTCCTCCTGCTCCTCCTCCTCCTCCTCCTCCGCCTCCTCCTCCTCGTGTTCCTCTTCCTCCTCCTCCTCCTCCTCCTCCTACTCCTCCTCCTCCTCCCCGCCTCATCATCATCTCATCATCATCACATCATCATCATCATCATCATCATCATCATCATCATCATCATCATCATCATCATCATCGTCCTCATCATCATCCTCATCATCATCATCATCATCATCCTCATCATCATCATCATCATCATCATCATCATCATCTCATCATCATCACATCATCCTCATCCTCATCCTCATCCTCATCCTCATCCTCATCCTCATCATCCTCCCTCATCCTCATCCTCATCCTCATCCTCATCCTCATCCTCATCCTCATCATCCTCATCATCATCATCATCATCATCATCATCATCATCATCATCATCATCATCATCATCTTCCTCCTTCTCCTCCTGCTCCTGCTCCTCCTCCTCCTCCTCCTCCTCCTCCTCCTCCTCCTCCTCCTCCTCCTCCCCCGACCTCCGAGGTCACTCATCTCTCACGCCGCGGGCCCTGGAGCTCTCGACCCAATCAATTCCTGGTACAGTGGGTGCTTGCCGCTGCTGGCCCCCGGGGCCCCCGGGAACGCCACGTGCCCAGCAGGCCCACATGGCGGCACACCGCCCGTCGCGTTTGTGGTTTCCGTGACGCCCTGCGGTGCGGGCCTTTCCTCCTCGTCAACCTCCTCCTCCTCCTCCTCCTCCTTCTCCTGCTCCTCCTCCGCCCATTACGCTGACGTTCCTCCTCCTCTTCCTCGGCCTCCTCCTCCTCCTCGTCCTCCTCGTCAATCTCCTCTTCATCCGCGGAACGCCCGAGCGGACGACGGCGAGAGCAGAAAAAAAACCCGTTCCTTTGGCTTCGCTGCTGCTGCCTTCGGCGTCGCCTCCGGCGCACGGCTCAGGATGCAGCCCCCCCGTCGTCGTCGTCGTCGCCGCCGCCGTAAAAAAACAAGGGCATCCCCGTAAATGAATGGCTGGCCTTCCTGACTTTGGGCGCATGGATGCCCTCCTCGGACCCTGGAACCTGCTAAACACATGTTTGTTGCTGTTTTAATCGCAGCGCTGGCGGACGCTCAACGCAGTCAAAGCAGCCATGCGCATTTACCCTGTGGCGTGCCCAACCCTTCCTAAACTGATGGCGAACCCATATAAAGATGTAGAGTTACATGTATATGTTGATTGGTGTGTATACATACATGATATACACACTAAATGTATGGCGGATTTCGAAAACCCGAAACCCAAAAACGTGCTCATCTCTTGGGGGCATGTTTTTCTTCCGCCACCATCCGCCGCTCTTCCGCCGGCTTCCGCTGGCTTCCGCCAACAAGAGGCGGCCTCGTTTTACTCCCGCCGGCCTTCCGCCGCCCTTCCGCCGCCTTCCGCGGCGGAAGAGATGACAACTCCTTCGATCCTCGAAAGCAAAGTCCTTGTGGAACGCCGCATCCATATACATATATGTGTGTATGTGTGTATGCATGTATATGTACGATGTACACAATTGTATATATATATATACGTATGTACCGGGCTGCTCATTGTAAACAAACGTGGTGAAGGACCCGCAGCGCGCATGAGTTCCCAAAGTACGCATGAAAGCATGCTGGAATAAGCAAGATAGGGACGGAGACCGAAGCATACAGAGGGCTCTGCAGGAGGGACATACATGTTTAGTAACAGCAGCAGCGCCGAGCGCTACATACGCGGGAAAGAACAGCGCCATGCGCTCGCTCTATAGCAGAACAGCGCGTGGCGTTGAGCGACGCATGCGCGCGGGGTGGCATGGCGGGCCAGAGGCAGCTGAGGATGGGAGGCCTCGCGGACAAAAAAAACACAGCGCCACGCGTTGCGTGGTGCAGCCGTTCCCTGCGAGCTGCGATGCGATAGCGCCGAGCGCTACTTGGCGGGACAACGCCGAGCGCTGTGGGAGCCCCTGTCGTGTTGGATGCGAATACATGTCGTCAATTGCATTTCTACTCGCGACCTCCCAGGATCCTACAAAAGTGTCGACAGTTGCGGAATTCGCACCCCCCAGGGAGCAGCGAGGTCCCAAATGACACCGCTGGGCCTCCTAGGAGCCCACGAAAAGCGGCAACAATTGCGGAATTCGCAGCCCCCCCCCCCCCCATGGAGCCGCGAGGTCCCAACTGGACTCCCGTGCAATTCCACTCCGCTGGACCTCCCAGGAACCCACGCACATGGCGTCAATTGCGCAATTCGCAGCCCCCCCCAAGGAGCCGCGAGGTCTCAGCTGGGTCGGCGTACCACTCCACTCCGCTGGACCTCCCGGGAGCCCACGAAAGTGGCGACGATTGCGCACGAAGCAGCCCCCCAAGGGAGCCGCGAGGTTCCAGCCGGGTCTGCGTACCACTCCACTCCGCTGGACCTCCGGGAGCCCACGAAAGTGACTACGATTGCGCACTTCGCAGTTCCCCCAGGGGGGCAGCGATGTTCTAGCTGGGTCTGCGCACCACTCCACTCCGCTGGACCTCGCAGGAGCTCGCGAAAATGGCGACAGTTGCGCAGTTCGCAGCCAAACAACGAGTCGCTAGGTCTCGACGTGGTGTGCGTGACTACCGACTCCGCTGGACTTCCCAGAAGCCAACGAAAGTGGCGACAGGGAGAGCCCCGCGCGAGAGTGGCCAGGCGGCGCAAGCAGGACGAAGGAGAGAAGGGAGGAGGAAGAGAAGCAAGGGGAGACAGCAGGCAGGAAGTGGGAGGCAGGAGGCAGGATGGGGAAGGAGGGAGGAGGAGTGGAGACCACAGCGCTCTATTCAAAGGGAGGCGGGGGAGGAGAGGAGAGGAGTGGAGACCATAGTGCTATATTCAAAGCGAGAAACCAACACAGGAGGTTTCAAAAAAATGGCTCACGCCGGGACATCCATGGGAGCGTCGCGCGGCCTGGAGTTGCGAACGGACAGAACAGGATGGCGTGAGAGGTCCAGAGAAATCGCCTGGACACGTTCGAACATCGATCGGGACGCCATGGAGACGGCATCGTTAATTCAGCTGGGGCGAAACACCACCGGAACACCATTGCAGAGCCGTCGCAGCACTATCGGGAATCCATCGGGACCCCACTGAAAACCAAGGTGTGCACCATCGGGCACATCGAGCACGCATCAGGAGGTCATTGAAGACCAATCGGGGCCACAACGGGGCACCGGAGCAAGACCACGGGGACACCACGGGAGCACCCGACGCGCCCCGCCCGCCCAAGCAGGAGCGGCAGGATCCTTGAGAACTGACGCACAGCTTCGGGCGCACATCATGCACGGCACGAGCACGGGCTGGGATTCGATTCCCCGGCAGGGCTTGCTTGCTACCTGGTATGAAGGAGATGAGCTCCACCACTCTACGCGCCTGCCTGAAAGGTGCGGTTCAGAATTGCGTTTTCCCCCATGGCGGCGGCTAACAAGAATACTTCCGCACCTCCAACCGTCGGCTACACGCAAGAGTGACCCCTGGCAGGGGTGACCTCTGGTGCGCGGCTTAACAGGGGGCGCGGGGTGGCCAAACCCAGGCGCGCAGGCCGCTGCTACCACTTCGCGCTCAGCGATCGGGAGACCCCGTCGGGCCCGCACCAGGAGGTCACTCCGGCGAAAGGTCACTGTTCCGTCCACTCGAAGCCCCTCCTTGCCCTGCGTGCGGCGCGAGAGCGCAACACTCCCGGCCGTGCAGACGCCCCCCTGCCCTTCCAGCCCTCTCCCCCTTCCCTCCAGCAACTTTTGTTGCGCGAGCCGACGCCCGCAAGCGGGCCCTCCGCTCGGGGGGCTGCTAAAGGTGCCCCTGGCCCAAGGTGCCCCCAGCTGTTCGCTCAGTCCTGGTGTCCCAGAGAAGAAGCAGAAGCAGAAGAGCACTACGACAAAAGAAAGAGGAGGAAGAAAACGACGCAGAAGAAGACCAACATGGGTATTAGTAAGAGAACGAATAAGGAACACATGGAAGACAAAGACGTATGGCACAAGCATTATGAAACTAATAATGGTAGTACTAGTAGTTAGAGTATTCGTAATGATAATTGTAAGCACAAAAGAAGGTGACTGCTCATAATAATATGAATGCGACTACTACAACAACTACTACTACTACTACTACTACTACTACTACTACTACTACTACTACTACTACTACTACTACGACTACGACTACTACTACTACTACTACTACTACTACTACTACCACTACTACCTACTACTACTACTACTACTACTACTACTACTACTACTACTACTACTACTACGACGACTACTACTACTACTACTACTACTACTACTGACTACGACTACTACTACTACTACTACTACTACTACTACTACTACTACTACTACTGCTGCGACTACTACTACTACTACTACTACTACTACTACTACTACTACTACTACTACTACTACTACTACTACTACTACTACTACTACTACTACTACTACCGTTATCACTACTACTACTACTAATAATAATAATGATGAAAATAATAATAACAATAATAATAATACGGGTAAAAGAAGAAGAAGAAGAATAATAATAATAATAATAATAACTCTAATAACAAAAATATTAAGGACAATCAGAAGATGCGAGAGGTGCTCTGGAGGCCGTGGGGGCCGGCATGAACTCCTGGGGGGGGCACCTTGGGCCAGGGGCACTTCCAGCCACAGCCTGGACCCGCCGGCTCACGCGGGGGCCGCCGGCTCACGCGAGGCCTCCGGGGGACCACAAAGAGACCGCTACCACTAGGTCGGGCATGTCCCCCTACGAGGAGATCTTGAAAGGGAAAAATACCCCCAAAATGCAGAAGAAATGGCCAACAGATGCTCAAAACATATCCCCCGACTGTTCTTGTACTATTTTGGAATATCCCTCCTGTGGAGGGACAGGCCCGACGTCACGCTACCACTACTCCCCAGGACCTCTCCCAGGGTGCGCTCTGACCAAGCTTTCAGGGCGAATCTGGCGGTGGCGACGAGGGCCTTCCAGGAGGCCCCCCAAAAATCAGCGGGCGAAGAACTGTAGAAAATAAACAATTCCGCCGTCGAGGACGCCTGCCCCTCGGCGGCTGGACAATTTATACCCGCACGTTGCCACCGTAAGGGTGTGAACTTTCCAGCCGCCCTGGGACAGGCGCCCCCGACAGCCAAACAAAAATATGGTATACCGTTCTTCGCCCGTCAAAAGAAAGCGGAGACGGGGCAACGGTCGCGGCATTAGAAAAAGAAAAAACACATAAACATAAACTTTTGGCGCTCCGCGCGGATTTCTGGGATTCGCGCTGGACCCCCTCCCTGGCGCGCGAAGCGCGCCAGGGGCGGCGCCGGAGACGCCGCAGGGGGGGCCCAGGCGCGGATCCAAGAAATCCGCGCGCAGCGCCAAAAGTTTGTGTCGATGTGGCTTTCTCTTCTTCCAGAGAGCGGTATCGGCACCTTTCCCTGAGCATTTTCTTAGGGTGGAGAGCTCAGGGTGAAATCCAGATAGGCTTTTGCACCTCGAAGCTCAATCCGTCCTGTAGTTCACCTTTTTCAGATCCAGGCCTCGAAAATCCATCGAAATGGCATCGCAAATCTCACCCTTTGCCCTCCTCCCAAAGAAAATGCTCGGCTCTCCTCCTCTATAGTCCGCGCCCATCAAACGGGGACTCCTCTGACGGGCACTTTGGCCCGTGACCCGGCGAACCCAACCCTTCCCGATGTGGGCAACGCTGCGATGCCACAAAGAGGCCCCAGAGTGACAACCTTCGGCAAGATTTCAAAGCACCCGTTAGTCAGTACGTTGCGGTGCCGTTGATCTATAGGGGCCTGCCCCGCCTGCCGGAACCCCTCCAGCTGCCAGAAGCCGCGGTCCCCGGAGGTCGGCTGCGGCTCCAGAGCGAGGAACGTCACGGTCCCGGCGCCCCCCTCCCGCTCGGCCCGCGGCCGGTCGGCCCCCGGCCCCCCCCCCCGGCATTCCTCCCCTCCGCCCTCCTACCTCCTCCTCCTCCCTCCTCCTCCTCCATCCTGTCCTCCCTGCCTCCCTCCCATCCTCCTCCTCCTCCCTCCTCCCTCCCTCCCGCTCCTCCTCCCTCAACCTCCTCCTCTTCCCCCTCCTCCTCTTTCTCTCCTCCTCTCGCTCCTCTCCTCTTCTTATATTATTCCCTCCTTATTATTGTTTATTTATTATTCTTCTTCTTAATTATAAAAGTATCTTGCTATGATTATTATTATTATTAGTATTATTAGTATTGTTATTAGTATTATTATTAGTAGTAGTAGTAGTAGTAGTAGTAGTAGTAGTAGTATTAATATTATTATTATTATCATTATTATTATTCTTATTATCATTATTATTATTAATAATAATATTATTATTATTATTACCATTATTACTATCAGTATTATTATTATTATTATTATTAATATCATTCGTATTACTATTATTAGTATTATTAGTACTACTATTATTATTATTATTCCTCCTCCTCCTCTTCTTCTTCTTCCTGCTCCTCCTGCTCATCCTCCTCTTCCTCCTCCTCGTCCTCCTCCTCCCTCCTCCCTCCTCCTCCTCCTCC